CTCCCCCTGCTTGTGTTCCCTTTCTCGCTGTCTCTTTCTCTGTCAAATAAATAAATAAAATCTTTTAAAAAAATAAAAATTCTACAATTTTTGGAATAGTTTATTCAACAATGAGATGAATAAATACAAATATTTCCAGTATATCCTCTATGTTTAATATGTTGAGAATGTATATTGACCTTTTAAACCTTTTAAAGGTTTAAAAAACTTTGAAGCCACAAATACAGTGATGACTGTCTTGAGTTTTAATAAGTGAAGATATGAAAACACTTGTTTTCCTTGTCTGAAACCCAATTTGTGATTTATCAATATACATGCTTATATTTAGCAAGTTCATAAGGATCAGGATGAAAGTACAATTATGAAATTAGACAACAAAATTTCTGTTTTGAAAAATGCCTTTCATTTTTCATGGGAGTGTGGAAAATATTAGAAATGAGTCAATGCTCTTTAGAAAATATGAGGATAATGGCTATGTCTTGAAATTTATATCTGCAGGACTGAGCATAATTCCACGAATAAAATAAATTTAATAAATGCTTGATGAATGAATAATTGAAGGATTTGATTTTATAAGACATAAAATTAAATGGTAGTGCTCCAAAATACTAATATTAATTATACAAATAGAAACTACCGAGGTCCAAAACTATGAACCAACCTCTATTGAATTTGTGTCTTTGATAAGGAAAACACACACAGAAGTCCATTTTTATGTATTTGAGCAAAATTGTCTTTTTGTTTAGGCATTGTGATAACAATAGATATTTTCATAGAATACAAAAGCCTCAAGGCTCAGTGTACCCAGAGATTTTCAAAGTTCTGAGTAGATGTTATTGACTGGTTTAGAACTTAGAAACTGGATGTGATTGAGTGGATTTAGAACTTAGAAACTTCTTGTTTCATTTTTGTTACAAAGTCAATATTTTTATATATTTTGTGTAGCCATGCTTAAGTTTAACAGGAAAAGAGAGGCAAAGTGGGTGCTCTGGACTAATAAAATGTGAGCCACAAATAGACCCAACAAATTGTGCATGATGTCATTGTAGGCAAGTAAAAGTCCTGGGAGTGACTGTCCGTGAGCTATGGATGTGACTATTACTTGAGCCATATGAGAAGTGTAGTGCCCACAGAACTGAGAATGAATTTCTCTGGATCACTGCTATGAGGGCATATATAAAAAATACCCCAGGCATAAAATGTACAGTGCATGAATTACTTAGTCTCATGGTCATCCTTGACTCCTCACCTTCTCTTATGTGCCATATCTTCCCACTAGATTTCTTCAACTTCTATCCAGAGTCTGGATCACTTTCACTGCCACCACCATAGTCTAAAACACCATCATCATTCACTTAATTACTTTTAACAGCCACCTGTCAAGTTTCTGTACTTCTATTCTTGTATGCCTTTATTTTCAATAAAACAGGGGGCTGATCATTTTATTTTTAATTTTAATGGAAGTAAAACACACATAAAAGAGTGTAAAGTACTCTAATAGGAATTGAAGTAAAACAAACATAGAAAGTATATAAAGTACTCCAATCTTAAGTATGTAGCTGATTGATTTTTTAATATGTATATACCTGTGTAGTCTCACTCAGATCAAAACAAAGGACACTTCCAGCATGCCTCTTCCCCCCATACAACGTTCCAGACTATACCCTTCCAAAGTTCATCACTATGCTATTATTTTCAGTGTTTACTTTTGTACATCTTGAATTTCATGGAAATTGGGGATAAAAAGTATAACACTTTGTTGGCTTCTTTTGCTCATCTTTATATGAGATCTTCTGTGGAAGTCAGTTGCTTAATCTGTAAAGAGGAAGGAAGACTGACACTGGGAGCTAAAATTTGAAAACAAACTGAAGTTCGGCCCCAACCCACAGAAGTTCTGATTTTTTTTTTTTTTTTTTTTTTTTTTGGTCTGGAGACAGGCACAGAGTAGTATATTTTTAAAAATCCGAAAGAGAATTGAAAATATAGGCTCTGAACCAAATGATCTCTCTCCTTCTTTCTCCCTCTTCCTCCTACTCTCTCTCTCTCTATTTCCCTCTCCTCCTCCCTCTCCCTCTTTCTCCCTCTCTCTCTCTTCTCTCCCTGACCCCTCCACTCCTTTCCATATGGATGGATTGGCCACCACTCCTTTTTACCTCTATCCTTCCTTAAGTGTGCACTGAGCACCTATTAGATACTAGGCACCCTCTTAGGTTGCTGAAGCTACATAAGTGAACAAAACATAGTCCCTATCTTCCTGGGGCTTGGTCTCAAAAAACCCATACCTGAATATATAAACAAATATTGTTGAATATGTTTTCAGTATTTTTTTCTCTATAGGACCCTTTTACTTTCCCTTTCTAATTTATGGTGCATGCTGAGAGAGTTTTGTCTTTAATACCCACTCCAGACACCAGTTTATTTTGTAAATGGTTTGAATGGTAGCCAAAAAAATTATCTGACAATCTTATTATAGATGCTATTTATTAACTTTTTGTAGGTCTTATAGTGAATTAATATGTTTGTGTGTAATAAAAGTAACTGAAATTTAGGCAGTAACAGCCTATGAACATTTTTCAGTAAATTATGTATGTTTGGACCAGGAATCTTCTTATTTTCTGTGAAAAGTATATAATTGATAGGAAATTAACAGCATCGGGACTATTAAGACAAACATTTAAAAATATTCAATTCAATTCTCTTAGCATTAGACCACAATAATTATTTGGTGTGTTTCTTTTACTTGTTTTTAATGGTCCTTAAAAAAAGTTTAAAAGAACATTTTTTTAAAGATTTTATTTATTTGAGAGAGAGAGAGTGAGTGAGAGAGCACAAAAGCAGGGGCAGAGGGAGAGGGAGAAGCAGACTCCCCTGCTGAGCAGGGTGCCCAATGCAGGGCTCAATCCCAGGATCCTGAGATCACAACCTGAGCCAAAGGCAGATGCTTAATTGACTGAGCCACCCAGGTGCCCCTAAAAGGACATTTTAGATGAATATAGTAGAACATCCTGTTTTTCCCATTTCTTTTCTTTCCTCTTTATTTCCTTCCTTATACAGTCTTATTTCCTGGTAGCAAAGTGAAATGTAAAGACAGGAAAGGATTTAAAATATACTTCAGCACCATAGCCTTACTGGATTTTTAGATGCTGATGGGCAAAATAAGATTAGTTTGGTCATGTATTCAGTGACTTCCAATCTTTGTTTTTGGGTTTTTTTTTTTTTCAGTAGAATAATTTCAATAAAACTTAACTTTTTTTTTAGTAACACTTATTTTGAAATAAATCAATAAAAATCATTTTTCTCAAAGCAAATGTGTATACCTTAGCTGCAATCATTCTTAAGCAAAGAACATCTCATCGAATATTAATTTATTTTTGCATAAAATTACATTGAAAAAGGAATATAGTTGTCCATTTTATAAGGACAGATTTTTAATCTCTTTTTTTCTTTTCATTTTCTTTAAGAGACATTTTGACCTTGCTGTGAAGCTAAGCTAGAGAGGACATTGGCAGAACTTTATATGTCTTTATGCATAGCTTTGGATGAGAATTTAATAGGACAGAAAATAATACCTTGCCAAGTATTAACTGTAAATCTTCTATTTACTGTAGAATTTCAAGATTTATGGAATACCAAAACAACCCAGGGAGATGACTCATAAAGAACTAGAACTTTCTAGTTTCCTACATTCTTTAAAAAAAAGTCTTAGCTGTTTAACTTTGCTGTATAATACCATAATCAATATTGAGATCAACCTATGAATTAACATAAATCAATCATTTGGGTTTTTGGTTTTTGTTTTTAACCTATCACTCTAAATGGTTACAAACTGGTAGTCATATCAAAAATAACTTTAAAAGCCATGGCATCCCAATTTTAAATTATAAAGACAATACCTAAATTTAATTAGAGGAATACATAACTGTTGAAGTCCAAATACATTTTTTAAAGTACAGACTTAGCTATGGTTTAAGATGAAAATACGCTTTTATTTCTTTCATGCTATATCAACCCTCTGGCATAATGACCAAATATTACTGGTTGAATCCCAATTACCCACATCCTAACATTCTACAACTTGCATAAGCAACAGCCTCCTCCTGTATGGATGCTTTCGTCGAGACTTAGTCGTGAAGCACAAAATCCAGTTTTATGTTAAGTAGGTGGGTTGCTAATCTGTGAGAATGCCATTCTTGATCAGGCCTTTATGAATTGTTTGTGAATACCAAACCGGACAAGGCAAGCTTTATATTCGTTCTGCAATTAGCCAAAATAATTCTAGTTAAACTCTGGTAAAGATCTCTAGTATGAAATGAATGTAAAGTATTCATTCTTTCTTTATCTTACTCTCTGGTTTCATTTTAGCTCATTTGTTTATTTAAAAATAACCCTCTAAGTTGCTTTTTCACTGCTTTTCATGTTACAGATTGAAAATGTTGATGTCTGCCTTAGTTTTCTAGCAGCCAGAGGAGTAAATGTTCAAGGTCTATCCGCTGAAGGTAAGAAAAAGGTTGTCACCAATAACACCCAAGTTTGTGGAAAAAAAATTGTTTTTGTATTGCAGGAAATGTAAAGTGGGAGTACATAGCTTCTTAATACATGAAGTCAAGTTTCCAAAAATAATAGAAACATAAATGCAATGGTTAGTAATATATGCTTTAATTATTTATATATGTTCCATATTTTGGCAAAACTGTTATTTTCATGACTGAGTGTGTGGGAGAAGGGTAGATTAACAAAACATTTTTATGTTATCACCAGTGTACAGTATTTTTAGAGTCTTAAGTAGAGGGATGGATGGATACATAGATAATGCTATAGATAGATGAAATTCAGGTAAAAATGGTATAATTAATCTGCAAATATTATTTTATGAATAACACATCAAATTGGTAGTCCTGGTTGAAATATTTGGTAAGTTTAAATAAGTCATCATAAGTTCTTAAATAATTAGCAGTTAAAATATTTAATAGCTGTCATATGTGAAAGCTTTAAAGTCATTAATGGTTTAAAAGATCATCACTATAATTAAAATACAGAAAAGTAGAAAAAGACTGAACTGGTTCTGTCTTTTTTTTTTTTTTTAATCTTTTTCTTTCACATGTATTTTTAGGAAAACTTTTCAAGTACTATAACAAAATCTAGTTGCTAAGCTTATGAAATAGCAAGTCCTTTGAGATTTGCAATAACCACCATTTTATTAGAATATTAATTTATATATTAAAATTCTGCTAGATACTGGTATATACTTTGACAATTTAGATTGGTTACTATTTCTACTATAGTCATTTGCTCTGAATAGCCTTTTCCCCCACACATACTAGAAATATTAGACAGGTCTAAGTTTTAAAAATTTTGCTGTCATTGGAAAAAGGAATTATGTGGCTTCTGAAATACAGTGAACATTTAGTAGAATTTTTTGAGTTTTCCCAATTTTTCTTCTGTATTCATTTTTTGTTTTAAATTTCCTTTGTCTTTTACATTTATATGATATGTTGTGTAATACAAAATTACACATTTAGGGGCCAAAAACCTTAGGTTCAAACCTAACTGATGGTTCTGCAATTTAGAATAAAAGTTGATAAAATTCCCCAGGAAAATATTTTACTTTTTCAGTGCTTAAAAGTAAGTTAAAAATGTTACCATTTGTTCATTTTATGTCTCTGCCTTCTCATATGACATCCTTTAGTAACAGAAACCCAATGATTTTCATTTATCTTCTAAAAATATATGAATGTTCAAAATGGTTTTCTAGATTAATAAAATATACATAGTAAGAAAACAAGAAATTTTTAAAACCTTTAATATCATCTAGGTTTACATGAGAGCATTAATACTTTCTTACTGTAGCCTCATATTGATCAGACTAACTCTTCTATATTATGGCAACTGTGAGAAGTTTTGGGGAGGTGGGGAAACATCTCATTCTCATTTTAAATGAGTAATTCTACTGCATACTTTGTGTGATGTCTATAAACCATCAGAGAGCAAGAAATCAGAATAGTTTGTTAATGTTCCTAAACTACAAAAAGGAGACATAAAACCTTGACATCACAGGAGGATGTATTTTATTGTCAACAACATGTTTTATTTAGAATATGATTACAGGTTTCATAGCCTTATTTCAAGCTTTACCTCCATCTCTTCTCTGAATTTTATATTATAACTACAAGCAAAAGAAAACAAGGTTCAGATTGTAGCTTACTTTGGGTGTTTATCTTTTTATTCAGTATTAGAAAAATTTAGGAGCTCCATGTACTAGAACTATGATTTACAGTTATGTTTATCAATTGTTGTCATGAATAAGCTGATCTTTATAATTTATTAATATGTAGTATGAGTCAAGAGAAAAAGTGGACCATTAAAAAATTAATACTTATAATGTCTACTTTTGGGAGATTACATATATAGTCATATATATAAATATATAAACATTTGAATAAATTGATTGCTAGGTGATTTAGGAGGGCTACTCTAAATCCAGTTGTCATTATAAGGTGCACCCACACCATCATTATTTATAATGTAGGACAACCAACATTTAAGTGGCTTTCTTTCTCCAGTTCATAGCCATCACTGTGTTGGTAACAGCTGTGTATTTGTGAGGGAAGCAGAATGCTGAATCAAATGATTAGTGCAGGACAGAGAGCCCATCCATTTCCAGGAAGAAGCAAACTCTAGAAAAATCGCAGTTGGGGATCAGCAAAGACCATTGCTCGTACAAGTTTTGTTCTACCTTCTTTCCCATCACTCTGTCCCTGAAGCTCCAGGCTATTTGGAAATGTTATCAAGCTTCAGAAATTCAGATTTGCTTGAATCTGTGACTGCGAGACTTGAGGTGCATTTCTATCTTCACAGATTTGGTCTAAGAGAATGGAAACTGGAATTGCATTTGTAAAAAAATAAATAAATAAAATGGAAAACCTTTTCATTTCATATGTTCATTTCATTTGTTACTGTTCATTTCATTTGTTACTGTTTTTATATTTTCCCTTTGATGCAGAAATAAGAAATGGAAACTTAAAAGCCATTCTAGGGCTGTTTTTCAGTTTGTCTCGCTACAAGCAGCAACAACACCATCAGCAACAGTATTACCAGTCTCTGGTGGAGCTTCAGCAGCGAGTCAGCCACGCCTCCCCTCAGGCAGAAGCCAGTCAGGCCAAAACCCAACAAGATATGCAGTCCAGGTAAGGACAGGAAGCAGGGCATGTGTGTAAAATTAACTTGTCTGGATATAAATTGTTGTTGTTGTTTTTTTTTAACAACTTACTGTTTGTGAGATTGGAAAACATATTTATGTAGTCGCATCAGTGTTATGATGTAATTTGACCGATGTTGTAGAAATTAAGACCACTTTTTCTTTTGGTTGGATGAGCAGCCTTTATTAATTTAAGGTGAAATATTTGTGTTTATTTTCTAGAGATGATTGTGGTTTGTATCAAAGTGTGTGAAATGTCTTTCTTGTGAGTGACGTGGCACAATTGTTTCCTTCTGCAGATTATTTAGAATGTGCTACTGAGTATGTGTCCATCTGACTTGAGTCTGTTGGTGCATCGTAGACACAGCCTGGGGTGGGGTGCTGACAAATCATGGCAACTTCCTTCCCTCTGCCTTAGTGCTGTTTTCCAATTTGGAATTCTATCAGTCAGGGTTCAACCAGAGAAGCAGAACCGGGAAGGGATTAAGAGATTTATTGTGAAGAATTGGTTTACATGATCATGGGGACTTGCTAGGCAAGTCTGAAATCCTAAAGGCAGCCCAGCAGGAAGGGCAGGCTGAAACTCTCTCAGCATGAGCCAAAACTTTTATAATCAGGTAGAATTTCTTCTCTCAAGGAAGCCTCCATCTTGCCTTTAAGACCTTTCAAGTGGGGAATCAGACCTACCCAGATTATCTAGGATAAGCTCCCTTACTTAAAGTCAGCTGCTGTGGACTTTAACCACATCCACAAAATACTTTCTCAGCAGCACCTAGATTAGTGTTTGATTGAACAAGTGGGACCCAATAAACCTAGCTAAGTTGACACATCAAAAAATGATCACAGAATGAAATGAAGTTAACAAGTTTCATGCATGCTGCTCATTTGTTCCTCACCAATGACCAGGATATTGGGTCATTTGCTCTATTGTGTAAATAGCTGATTGTTTTTCCTTTGGAGGGAGAATGTTCTATATGCAAATACTCATCATCTTTAAGAGTACATCTACATATCAAACAGATGTAAATATTTAACTTTTTCCATCTTAAGAAGGCAATCCTGAAACCTAGTAACACTCAGTTTACCCTGAGTTTGTTTTTGGTATTTAGTATTGACTCACAAAGTTAGAGTAAAATTCCAAATTACATTCACATACCACCTTCCCCCCCAACCACTTATTGTCAAATATTCAACAGTTCAGAAATCCTCTTCTCTTTCATCTGTCAACCAGCCCTTTCTTCATATTAAGCAATACTTCTTTTCTCTGTATGACCATGTAAACTCTATTTGCTTTGGCGGATTTGACTCACTAATGAATTATTAAGTCCATAAAGAAAAACTGTAATTTTATCAAAAATATAGGGTATACTACATAGTTCAGGGAGTGATAAAAGATGTTTCTCATTACTCAGTAATGCAGATATGCTTTTGTTCTTAAAGCTCTTCCTGGCTTTTTGTGATGTAAGTGAAATTGTACAGAAGTCAAAGTGAAAACAAAATTCTCTACAGGGGAAGTTCTTTGGATTTCTTTAAGAATGGGGGGGAGGAAATAGCTTTTTTAATTATTTATTTATTATTTGGGGGAGATGGTTGGTAGAAAGAGATCTAGATTTTGAAAACTGCCAGAAATAATATTTCCTAAAGTTTGGTTTAAGTTATTTGAATGGACAAGAAGCAAGAATAGTAGCTGAAAAAACATAGGAAGTTAAGTGGTATTGTACAAAATATGTTAACTCTGGAAGTGATATGGAGTATCATTTGTCTTTACTTTACCTCATTCTATTTCTGTATCTGCCATGTGGAATTTCTTGCCCAGAATTTCTCAGTGGTTATGACCCTTCTGGGGAGATTGTTTTTCTCATTCTTGCTAGATATGCATGGCTGTTATGGAACGATATTTTATTTAAAAATATAAAGCCCTATGTAGTAGGCATGGTAATTTTATACCTTCATCGGAAGGTTTTGAAAAGTATTCTTTTCACCAGTGTCCTTTAAGACTGAGGTAGACTCTTAAAGAATTTTTCTTGTGATAAATTTAATTACTTTTAATTGCTTTGTAGACTGATAATGAATAGTCCTAGTTGGGCTCCATGCTGTGTGTGGAACCTGCTTAAGATTCTCTTTCTCGGGGTGCCTGGGTGGCTCAGTCGTTGAGCGTCTGCCTTCGGCTCCGGTCATGATCTCGGGGTCCTGGGATCGAGCCCCGCATCGGGCTCCCTGCTCAGCCGGGAGCCTGCTTCTCCCTCTCCCATCCCCCTGCTTGTGTTCCCCTGGCTGTCTCTCTCTCTGTCAAATAAATAAAATCTTTAAAAAAAAAAAAGATTCCCTTTCTCCCTCTCCCTCTGCACCCCCCCATCATGTGTGTGTACACGTGCACTCTCTCCCTCTAAACCGAAGGAAGGAAGGAAGGATGGATGGATGGGTAAGGAAGGAAGGGAGGAAAGAAGGGAGGGAGGAAGGAAGAAAGAAACTTAAAAAAAAATAGATTAAAGGCCCTTTCTTCAACCAACTGGGAAAATGTGAAAAATGTTTTAATATAAAGTGATAAAAATCTTTTTTAGGAGTTGAAATCATAGTTATTTTTTCTAAGTATTAACGAGGAGATGGGGAAGTATTATTTCTTATTCTAGAAAACAAAGTAGAAATGAATGCTATATTTTCCAACTCAAAATTCATTTGATTAGTAAATATGGTTTGAGCATTCAGGGTATTTCTGCTCATCATACTTTTCCATGTGTTGAGTTTTGACAATGAAAGGTCTAGTTGACATCAAAGGTAACAGGGAGTTTAATTTCACCAAAATCTTACACAATGCCTGGCACATGAGACCAACCAACAGTGAGCAGAATGCATGTCATGAATGGATAATTTTCCTGAGAATATCAGGTAAATCATTATAGTGAAAGAAAATTATATAATGAAAATTCATTTTTCTTGTGTACCATTCAGTTATATATGAGGTGTAATCATGATGGTATTTGAAAAAGATGATGATTTTTATTTGCTAAAAGCTTTACTAAAGAGAGGTTTTTCCTTAAAATGTAGACCTTTTAGCTTAATTGTTGTCCAGACTATTAAATAACTTTCCTTCCTGTTATTAAATAGTGAATTTTACCAACTCACAAATAGTGATTATTGAATTGCATGACAAATATTTTTATGTTTTATAAAAAGAAAACATGTAAAAAAGAAAAGAAATTGACTATAAAGGTAGAGGCAGGTAAGAAATTGCGTAGGGCATAGAAACATGAAAGGCAGTGATGTCGATAAGTCTATAATAACAGCTATTTTAAGAATTTAGGAGATTATGATTTCCACAGATGATCATTTGCCCTTCTGCTTTTCATTTGTAGGAGAAAATCAAATATGCGTCCACTTGCAGTTTAGATGAACTTGCTCAGTTAGGACTTGCAAGTCAAATAGCAAAATCTGTGGACACATGTTCTTTGAGTGACTTGTCCATTCCCTCTGCAGCCCCTTGCCAAGGTTCCCGTGACCCCTGCCACACACATTGCTCTTGGAACCCTCTTCCCATTAAGGATATTTGCCTTTCTCTTTTCCAGGAAACATCATTTCCTTCTGGGGGATTCACTCAGAAACTGGGACGGTTTACAGCTTTTCAGCCTGGGGTTATAAATCTTGCAAAGTGTATAAGGAAGTTTAATTTAAGATGACATGAAGGCTCTGGTAATTTAAGCCCTTATGAACCTGGCTTCAATTAGTTTCTTAACTCAGCTCTGTGTTGTGGCCTATAGTATGCTCTTCAAAAAAGTCAGTGAATCAATTAAACTTTAAACAAAACAAAACACAAAGGACATTTTTAAAGCAGGACTTTTTCTTTCCTAGAGAGAAATAATTGAAGGGAAAGAAATTACCCTTCAATTTTTGCCTGATTTAGGAAACCAACAGGGCGTAATATTAAAAGAGCGTATATACACAATATACACACTTTGCTTATATTCTGTGCTTTTATTTCACCATTTAAAAAGCTTGACAACTACTCATACTTCTGTTGTTATAGATGAAGCAGCATCTATATGGTCTTGGTTATTTTAGAGTCAGGCAGACATGGGTTTAAAGTCTGCCTGCCAATTCCCAGGGGTGCGGCTTTGGGCAAATGATTTTAACCTGTTCGAATACCAGTGTTGTTACCTCTACTACTGGAATGGACATAACTTCCTCAAGAGGGTATTGAGAAGACCTCAGAGAGTAATTCATGTATAAAGTGCCCCCATAGTATAACACTTAGCATGTAATAGACACTCATCCCAGCTACTTTCACTTTACCTTCCACCCCCTTTAAGATCATGTCACATGTATAATGAAATATACTGACCCATGTTAGAAACCTCAAATCAGCCTCATCCCTGGTCCCTCCCTTCTCTCTTTCTCTGATCAGTTTTGTCCATTCCACTTCTAACTTTTATTAAATATATAAAAGTAATGCAAAATAATAATGTCCTCATTATTAAAAGTAACAGCCTAATGCTCAGACCTTTTCGTGCCCGGTCTAGGTACACAGAGGTAACCCCTTTAATTATTTTAGTAGTATTACTTATTTCCTTTATTAGTTATTACCATGTAGCCAAATAAAATACTTCTGCCTCCAGTTTTTATTCATTAATTTGATCATTATCTTTTGGTTCATACACTCCCCACCTCTCCCATCCCCCATTAATGTATTCAACAAATATTGATTAAGCACTTAGTATGTTCTAGGCACTCTTCCAGGCACTAGAGATATAGTTGAGGACAAAAGAGATTAAGGAATTCTTGCCCTCTTGAAGCTTCCATCCTAGTGATGGGAGACAATAAAATATTAAAATATGTATCACTAACTGGACAGCTGATGGTGGAGAAAAATAAACCAGAAAAGAAGGAAACACAATGTGTAGAAGCCATATTCCTGCAAATTTAAATAGGGTTCTGAGAAAGTCCTCAGTCTGATGATCTTGAGGAGGGGAGGTGAGAGAACTAGCGGTTGTGGTT